CGTATCGTGTGGGCGTTGTATGGTTATTATCTATTAGTTTATTATTCCATGATTTTCTCACGCTCCAATTCTCTGTAACCAATTCACTGTAACCCCTTGCCTTCTAGTGGCTTCCCACATTGCATGGGGTGAAACGCTTAAAAAAAATAGCAACAAAACAGTACGAAAATGATTTCAGCAACTCGAACTACTGTTACATTCATTTTGATTCCAGTTTATAAAATTTCCATCAACTATATCTGCTCTACGGCAGCCGTCTTAAAATAAAATCTATTTGATATCTGAATTTATTGGATGAGGAATATATCATTGTTTATGCTGTTTACATTCCTGATCATTGTTGTTTTTATCACCGTTATGCTTTGTAGCCTTATTCAGTGCTCGTTTCAGTCAATTTAGGGAATTTCGAACAAAACCCTTTATTCATTGTACGGAGTTGATTTTTCTTGTTCCGTTGTAATATTATAAAAAAAAGTCGATGATATTCGTTTGAATATAAATAATGTAAATAAATCTCTCTCTCATATATTTACTTTAAACCTAAGTTTCATAAAAATAAAGCCATGAAAAGGAAACCCAGACTTCATGTCTCCATCTTTCCGGCCATAAAGCTTGTTTTTACAGATAAAACATTATTGATAATTATATTACACTAACTCGACATTTATATATATTCTCCAATTTTATCTGGAGGGAGCGTTATGTATTGTGTACAGGGATGTAGCCGATGGTGAATAAAAAAAAAGGCATTCATTTTTTACAACAAATATTATTTTAAAAAGAAAACCGATTTGTTTACAAATAAACCTAATCCAATCTTCCTGACGTCATCATCACTATTTACATTATTTGGACTATTGTCCTCCTCCTTGTGGCCATATTTATCACAACATTTCGGCCGTTGTACGCTCCAGCCTTCTTCAGGTGGTTGTAATGTCGAACTGAACACTTTATACCTCTCGCTGGGGTAGACAGTTCTAATATCACGTGGCACAGTGGATAAGTGCGTTGGTTGGATCCAGTGACAGGACCCAAAGAGTTCACTACTTGGTTAACGCAGTGGGTAACGTGGAGAGGTTAATTAACAGAAGATAACTGATATGTGACATCCATTACACATGGCACGGGGAACTAGAACAATCTACTTTACGAAATAAAGGGTTCAGTTCGACATTCCAACCACCTGAAGAAGGCCGGAGCGTACAACGACTGAAACGTGATAAATATGTCAACAAAGATGAGGACAATAGTCCGAATAATGTAAATAGTTTACATAAAAAAATTAACAATAAATCATATTTAGATAAATTATATTAGGTAAGAATATATATATATATATATATATATATATATATATATATATATGTTATGTTGTCCTCCCCTTTTTCATATAAGTGGACTCGACCAGAGTGTTACTTTGACTGCTGCCGTTAAATACCCAGAGTCAATCAGAATATAGAGAAAGTGAGCAGAGATTATGATTGAGTTCGAGCTAGAGTAATAGTGTGAGGTAACCGCTTGTAGAAGTCTCAGTTACAAGCACGTAGACTCTAAGGAAGTCCTATTTCGAGAGACTCTCTCTCTCTCTCTCTATATATATATATATATATATATATATATATATATAATCATTATTGTTATTGCTACTAACCGAGTTCCTGGATTTACTAACAGTATTACTCATTGTATTATTGTGTAAATACATTTAATTTCTTATATTTAATTCTTGCGTTTGTCATTCATTGAAGACCGAATTTCATCTCGGAATCCACAATATATATGTATCTATGTATCACTTTAAACGTTATTATTAGTTGATACTCGTATATGAATTGGTGATGCGTGTATGTATTAAAGAGTATATTTATTTTATCCACCGACTTGACCTGAAATTTCGACAAATCATATTTTAAAAAATTATGCCTTTTAGTACATCTGTCGGATTAATTAATCCGTTCTAATAAATTCCCTTTGTTTAAGTTTTGATACGAAACCGCATGCAGATATTAAAAAACTGAGAGATCATTGACAAGCGGTTTCCATTGAAAGCATCAAACTTGAGATCGCCGGACCGTCTGTGTGTTCGGGGATAAAGAGGTATAGCCACATCGAGTTAAACGCTGGTTCACCTACCCTGACAAATGCGGGTTCGATTCAGGACGAAGAATGCAAATTTCTCTTTAATTTTAATCGTACTACTCCCACCCCGGTCGTCCAAGACTCCCGCCACCGCGGCTGCTCCCTGAAGTGAACCTTTCAACCCAGAGCTAACCTTATTCCACATTGTGATTTTTTAGGTCATAAAACAGCCAAAATCGAATCTTCCCCAGGTATTTTTCTCTTGGGCTTGTCCAAACAGGCCGAAGACGTACAGGGAAAAAATAACACTTGAATAAATTGAACAAAAATAAATACTGTTTTTATATCAGTCCTCCATACAATAATTGGTTTATATCAGAGTTCACATGCAATTAATTATCAGCCCAACCCGTGTCTAAATCGGAAGTGATATTATCGTTGTTGGTAAAGTTAGTTTGCTGCCTTGGAAAGTTTATCACGAGGCTGAAGTCGGAGGCTGAAGTCGGCAGATAAACACGTAGGCTTCTCTCCTATCTCTGGTCTCGTCTCCGTCTCTTCTGCATCTCTTCTGCCTGATTCGCTTCGCTCATTCGTATTTATGGACATTCGCCCAAACTGGCGAAGTAAAAGAATTCGATAATTCTGGGGAATTCCCGTCTCTTATACTATTAACTCTCACTAAATCTCCTCAGTGAGCGTGGGTGGCTTATCTACCCACTCCTGGTATTCCAACTCAACTTTCGATCAGAGTAATCAACTCCAAAATAGGTTGTTTACAAAAAATGAAATTTTCGCTTTACAGCTTGAATTTGCAGCTGTGTGTCAATCAGCATTGCCCCCTAAGTTTTGGCCATTTTTACATTGTTCAAACTGCTCGACATACAATTCAAGTCGTTTATATGTGAATTAAATCCTCAATTCTTCCCACGGATTTTTGGTATTAACCTTTCTCGTTTCAATGTCTCATAGCACATAACACTTTCTATTGATAAGAAAAGTTTCTTAGGTTTTAATTTTACCGCGGTAGCAACAAATGATATCAAATAATCATTTTTTCCCTTATTTTGAAAACATGTATTCAGTCAAACAAGTTAAATTAAATTCGATCAAGAAAAACTGTCTGTTTAATTATTCCTTTTATTTTCTCAAATTCTTCGGGTATTTTTGAATACTTGCTTAAAGTTTTTTTTTCATCTGCCGTATATGAGGAATAATATTACATAATAGTAATCTTTTCTTTGTTTCTAACGAGAATGTTCTGTTTCTTGATGCCTTACTTAGCTTTTGAAAGGTATCTTTCGCTATGCCTATGTGCCCTCGGATTTCAGTAGAATCCTTTCCATTCTCTATGTCTGCTGTACCTATGTAATTGGTATCGTAGAGAATCGTTTTTATTTCTCATCTTCAAAATATTAGGCATCCATTATTAATAAAGCGAAAGAAACAGTATAGAACACATATTACCGATGGATTGTACACCTAAAGATAAAACCCAAAATGCACAGCGAATTAGTTGAAATAAATAAACCACAGACCAAAATATATGTCGCAGGAATTCAAAGTACTCATGATATGGAAATGAGTAACTTCCAAATTATCGACAGGATCTTCAGAATCGTGTTATTCTATATTTTTAAAACATGAATTACATCAGCAAATAATATAAATATAGTATTTAATCTAGAATTAGCCGCTGATTTTGTGACGTGGAAATTCTGAGATTTGTTGACAAGAGTTTAAAATTTCCAAACAGTCAGAATCTAGGCGCCAAAATGTCGGCTATATTAAGATATGAAGATTAATAGATGATTTCAAACAATTTAAATAAACTGATTATGAAATAAGAATAGCAGAGAAAGCACGAGTGCATTTCGATTAACATGTCAAAGCGTCAGAGGGATGCATTTCGAGTTATTGTTGCCAGAATAGCAGACATGAAATTGATCCACTGCATGAAACATACTCTTCGCAGACGGTGTTAGTTCAAAAGTGTGAAGAATACACCAATTTGTGAAATACCTAGCGAGATAGCTAGAAAGATAGGTATTTACCAGAGATAGATAGATAGATAGATAGATAGATAGATAGATAGATCATGACCAGAATTAGGTAGATGGATAGATAATTAGATCATCAGCAGAATTAGATAGATAGATAGATAGATAGATAGATAGATAGATAGATCATGACCAGAATCAGATAGATAGATAGATAGATAGATAGATAGATAGATAGATAGATAGATAGATCATGACCAGAATCAGATAGATAGATATAGATATAGATAGATAGATAGATAGATAGATAGATCAGATAGAATTAGGTAGATGGATAGATAATTAGACCAGAATTAGATAGATAGATAAATAGATAGATAGATTATGATCAGAATCAAATAGATAGATAGATAGATAGATAGATAGATAGATAGATAGATAGATAGATAGATAGATAGATCATGACCAGAATTAGGTAGATGGATAGATAATTAGATCATCAGCAGAATTAGATAGATAGATAAATAGATAGATAGATTATGACCAGAATTAGGGAGATGGATAGAAAATTAGATCATCAGCAGAATTAGATAGATAGATAGATAGATAGATAGATAGATAGATAGATAGATAGATAGATAGATAGATAGATAGATCATGACCAGAATCAGATAGATAGATAGATAGATAGATAGATAGATAGATAGATAGATCATGACCAGAATCAGATAGATAGATAGATAGATAGATAGATAGATAGATAGATAGATAGATAGATCATGACCAGAATTAGGTAGATGGATAGATAATTAGATCATCAGCAGAATTAGATAGATAGATAAATAGATAGATTATGACCAGAATCAAATAGATAGATAGATAGATAGATAGATAGATAGATAGATAGATAGATCATGACCAGAATTAGGTAGATGGATAGATAATTAGATCATCAGCAGAATTAGATAGATAGATAGATAGATAGATAGATAGATAGATAGATAGATAGATAGATAGATAGATAATGACCATAATGACAAAGATTAATGACAGGCTAAATAAATGAAATACATATATAAAAAATGTTGAATAAAAAACTACGTGATCAATCGTCAGTTAATAAAAATACCTGTATATATATATATATATACGTACGTACGTACGTACGTACGTACGATAGATAGATAGATAGATAGATAGATAGATAGATAGATAGATAGATATGAGTTGACTGTGATAGATAGATAGATAGATAGATAGAGAACATACTGAAAAAGAAAGAAAGAAGTAAAGGATGAACTAAGAAATGACTGTTGAACAGTAAACTATATATTTATAAGCCCACTCTTCTTACAAGAGGTCACCGGTCACAATATGTGGAAATGAAAAAGAGTGATTAATCAAACCGTAGAACAGTTTGTTTATTTTTTTATTCCGGTTTGTCTTTCAAGAAAGAAACAAAATGGCTTCCTTTTATGCCAAAAATATCACTTTCTTTCTTTTAAACGAAATATATTTTATATTCATTAACAAATATAAAAAGTAAATCGTAATTGATGAAATTTGGAGGGAAGTGTAAATCTATTTCACAGTAAGAATGAAAAAAACGAATATTTTTTTCGAGTTTAAGATAAACAAATCATGTAATAACGAAACCAAAAAAAGGCGGGAATATATATATATATATATATATATATATATATATATATATATATATATATATATATATATATGTATATGTGTGTGTGTCAATGAGTGTGATGTATATATATATAGGTTTAAGAAAAGTAAGCTAGATTTTACAAATGTGATTCAGTCAGTTATGTGCCATGTGTGATGCACGCTTAGGCGATCATGTTTCTTTTGATACATGACTGACGAGGCACATTTTTCAGGCAGTAGGTTGCCATTTCTTTCTGTGGTGCTATCCAAGACTATAGAACCGGTCTGTCCTGCTATTTACTTATAGCTGGGGGGAGAAGCAGACGATTCATACCTTTCAGGGTATTAGCACGTTGCATTAGACTGGATTCTTCAATCCGAGCCGCTATCCACTACACCACGGTGCCTCCCATATATATATATATATATATATATATATATATATATATATATCAAGAGCGAGAGAGAGGGGAGGACAGAATTAATTAACTTATTTTTTATCCGACATTTTTATTAACGCAAAAGTTATTATAGTGGAAACTCATACTGAAATAGACGCCCGTTTTTATATTTATTTAAAACAGTCTGTATTAAGCCTATCAGTCTGTGCATTGGAGACATTATTAAAATGGCAGATTGGGATCGAACCTGCTTCTCCTTTTACAGGAGAAACCATTGTTTTATTTGGCGTGCATTACCTGTCCGTTTGATTTGGGCATCTCCAGCTTGTAAACTGCATCTTGGGTTTTTTTTCCTTGTTGATGGTCATACTTACTAACTTCTGGCAATTGATGGCTACATTTTTTTATCTCGCTTTCTTTAACTGCATCCTGTAAGAGGTACTTTAGTTTCTACGTCAGCCATCAACAAGTTCTAATCTGCGGCTTTTATATTGTCAATATTACGCACACCAATAACAAATTCCAATTCCCCTAGGATAGCCTCGTTTTAGAAGTTGAATAAACCTGCGGAGAGGACACATACCTGTTTTATGCCTCTTTCTATTTTTTGTGTAGATTTTAGCAATTCTAAGTTGAGTCAGTTTATAACTATAATAAACATATTAAATATAAATTCTAAAAAATCATTAACCCACTTTCTCTCCTGTTGAATCGTATGAACTTATTGCCATATCAGTCATTATCACCGAGTTTAAGCAATGTTGAGTTTGGTCAGTAGCTAGAATAAACGGGTGACCTCAAGTTCGCTAGAAAGATAAGTGACCAGAATCAGATAGATAGATAGATAGATAGATCATGACCAGAATCAGATAGATAGATAGATAGATAGATAGATAGATAGATAGATCATGACCAGAATCAGATAGATAGATAGATAGATAGATAGATAGATAGATAGATAGATAGATAGATAGATCATGACCAGAATCAGATAGATAGATAGATAGATAGATAGATAGATAGATAGATAGATAGATAGATAGATAGTCAACTTGAATATGGTGGTGTGGTGTATAACGCCTCAGAATGACAAATCGGAAATCCTAGTTTGAATTGCAGTCGCGTTCCTTACATTCACTAACGTGCAAATACGCTTGTCATTTCTCCATCTCCCCATCATGGGTTAAATAGCAGGACACACTGAGTTCCATGGTCTTCGTTGGCAATCAGTCTACTGCAGAATGTAACGGCAATCTACTGCGAGCATTATTCTACCAAGTAACTCATAAACGGAAAAGAGACTTGGTCGTCCAAGCGTGTCACATTCAAACTTACCAAGACGGATCGGTCCAGCGCAAATAGGGTAATATCTTTTAAAAAATCTCTTCACTATCATGCCACGATAGTTGACAAACAAAAAAACATTGGGTGAGCACTTGTACAAACTATATCTATCTTATAATAATAAATAGCTGTTACATCCATTGTCAACCTTGACTACGACTATATTGCCTCCTGAAATATTCTCCTCTCCTCCATGAATAAAATTTTCGAATCATCTAAAGAAAATCGAATGAACGATTTCATTTTGTTTTGTATATGAAAGTCTAGAGCAATGATTCTGGGACCAGGGAGAGAATTGCAATTCTACAAATGGCCTTTGGATTCAGACAATTTTGGAAAAAAGAAATGACATGGGTCTTTTCTGCGTCAGGCAAAATTGTTGTGAGATTAAAAAAGAGTAGAAATGTTGAGTAATCTGGAGAATGATAATAGCAACAAAAATTTGATTTCAAATTATTTTTTGCAAGAAATTGTGATTTTCAGGACACAAACAATTTCTTGATAATATAAAGAATATATATCATTGGCAATCAGTCTACTGCAGAATGTAACAGCAATCTACTGCGAGCATTATTCTGCCAAGTAACCCATAAACAGAAAAAAGACTTGATCGTCCAAGCGGATCGGTCCAGCGCAATAGGGTAACATACTATTCCTCCCCGTGAATTGCAAAGATATCGAAATCAGGGAAGGCCTACATCCAACAAATTGTCTTCACGAGCTAAGAAAAAGAAAATATGGCCGACTTATTTTTTTAAATTACAATTATCAGTTTTTCCCTTTTTAAGTCCTTAAATACGTTTTTCCAGTTGTTATATTTATATGTAGAACTTCTGTGGGGATCAATGTATTATTTGATATCGATTTAAAACCAAAACACTATTTTATGTCCAGTAAATGTATCTCTAGATTATGTAAATAAGGCTGTCTAAAGGGGAAACGTACAAGTGTCGGTTTGAAAAGTTCATAGGCCGATCAAGATACTCTCAATAAATGTAGACAAATAAGGTTTATTTTTCTTCATTTTCTCTTCTATCTGTGTTGCAATGCTGAGATCCCATTGGAGGAAGTAATTTTCATACTGTTGGTCAAAAAAGCCGATAGCAGGAGATATCAAGCCATCAACACTGCGATACTCATTCCTAGTCAAATATTTTTTCGTGATGGGGAAAAGACAACCGTCAAATCCGGACTATAGGGTGGGTGAAAAATCAGTTCAAAGCCACAGTCACGACTATCATTCGCTGAAACCAAAGATTTTTGTGCTAAAGCATTGTCCTGATGAAACAAGTCTGCATTCATCAGTTTTCCTGGGCATTTGGTCTTTATAGCACTTCTTAACCGCCTCAACAAGTTATCATAGTACTCTCCATTGATGGTGTGGCCCTTCTGAATTTAGTCAAAAAACACAATGCCTTTTGAATCCCAGAAAAATGAGGCCAGATAAAACGACCTTCGTCCACTCTGGAGCAGGTAACGAGTGATGTTTTCGCTTCATGGACTGCCTCTTTTTCTCCGACTTAAAGTCATAAACGCAACACTCATCTGATGAGGGAAATATTTTAAGAAGCCAGCTGGATCTGGAAATGCCAAATTTTCCGTGACGTCTCCAGCCTGGGGCGCGTTTGATCAGGCGTCAAAAGATGTGGCACTGACCGATCAGAAACCTTTCTTATACCAAGTTCATTGTGCAGAATGTTTTAAACTCTCTCCCGGGATATGTCAGTGGCATTGGCTATTTGATTTGTAGTCAATCGCCTTGTCATCCAGCAATATGCAGTTAACACAATCAATGTTTCTGTGGCAATTGCAGAACGTACAAAACATGGGTCATTTTCAAGATACTCCCTTCCGCTTCTAAATTTAGCTGTCCACTTTTGTACTGTTGATAAACTTGAGTTGTCATCCCCTGATATGGCAAACATGTCAATATGAATATACTTATGTGCTAAATTCTTTTTCTGTTGGTAGTTAACACCATGATGTCAAATGTTGTCCATTTTCAAGAGAAGTCGCTACAAGTTACATTTGAAATCTTCTTTGGACAGTAAGATATCTGTTTATTTGGAAAGAAACGATACAATTATTGATAAGAATAGATTAATCTAATGTATGATTTCACAGCAGTAGCAGAGCTCCGTCATAGTCAGCCTCTGAACCTTTCAGCCTATCATCTCTATCTATAAAAGGCAGGATGTGTGTGTGTGTGTGTGTGTGTGTGTGTGTGTGTGTGTGTGTGTGTGTGTGTAACGAATGCACGGCCGCAATTTTCGACCTATTTGCACCAAAATTTACATGCACATTGCTCCAAGTTAGCGGAAAGGCCAAGACCAACTTTGCATTTCCCAACTCCCATCGATACTGGAAATAATCGATTTTTTCATGCTTCTACGGCAATTTTCATGTAGTTTGCGGCCATTTTCTACTAGCCAGAGTGAGAGCCAATAGTTGGCTGCCACGAATAGGCAGGAAGATTCTATTGGCCAGCGTGAGAGCCAACAGCTGAGTGACAGGAATGTTAACTAGCATGCTAGCATGCAAAAAAAATCGATAGCTGCATTCGTTACAAGTGGGAAAAATTTTAATCTGCACGGCGCTTTACTCTAATTTGCTCATTCGCTAGCTTAAACTCAACGTTGATTCTGATTCCGCAGAACTGGGTTGGGTGTGAAAAAGTATTTGTTGTTAACATTCTTTTTTCATTCGGTTTTTCCAGTTATGGGTCCTTTTTTAAAGCTGATCGTTTTGTGTTCATTTTGTTTAGTTCTTTTTTCGTAACAGATTTAATATTTAGTATAGAGCTTAGAAAAAATTCGCAGTGTGAGATAGGCAAGAAATAAGGCAGGTAGCAACATTAGCACGGCAAAGGGCACTTCCTTTAAAGGCAAGGAAGGGCAAAAATATGTTAAGTCAAGTGATAGCGATTGCTGTAGGAGTCATACGATTTTTGAATCAAGCACGGGTCATGCTGCTAGTCGTATATAAAACTGATATTTTTACGATCTTATTCAATGTTTTCGTCTTGAGTTTTAAAATGTGATTTTTTTTTCTATTTAAAGTTTCACGGTTTTTTCTTTTAACTCACGTTTTTTGTAAAAAAACACTCCGTTATTTGCATCTCAAAGACATTGAAACTTAGCGTTGACAAAACAAATAAGAAAACATCTGTGCATGAAATATTTGATGATATAAGTTTTAAATCTTTAAAAACTATGCACTTTACTAGACTTTCTAAGTGCTACATAATTATTCTGTTTATAAAATGACATCAGACTAACGACAATGACACCTGGCGTCGACAGGGCAATATGAAAATCTTGCCCTGGAAATATTTACTGATCCATATTTTTCACAGAAAACAATTCTGGCAAGATTTATACATTTTACTGGACATTCCAAATGACATATTATTAACCAGGTTTCAGAAATCCCAACAAACATTTCGTTTTAATTAAACATTGTCATCGAAGAACGTTCATAAATATTGCAGAGACGAAAAAGTAATTAAAACAAAATTCGTTGGAAATGCTGCTGTTTTTCTGAAACATGTGTTAGAAGAAATTCATTCATTGATTTTCAGAAGCTCTTTGATTCTTTTATAGGAAAACTCAGAACAGCTTTCAAAAATCAAATTTCAACTCTGCGTATAAATTTCCGGCGCCCAGTGGAAAAAATCTTTTTTTAAGTATTTACGCCAGTTTTCAAGTCGGAGGAACACGCCGACCACATTATGAATATGTTTGAAATCTGTTTTATTCGAATTTCATTAGCTGTCTTCACCGAATATGAAAGCGCATGGTCATGCAAACATGTATGCACACACACACACACACACACACACACACACACACACACACATATATATATATATATATATATATATATATATATATAATCATTTAAAAGCCTTTATTTTAAATTCAACATCATCACTTGAGAAGACACCAGAAGTGTTGCAATAAAATGGCTATTTTTGTAGTGATTTTATAGCATTTTTATGTTATAATTTTCGAATAAATGATTATATTTGCTCTACTCTGTATTGTGCACTCTCTTAAGAATAGTATTTGTTGGTTATTGGAATTTATTCCGTATACACCAATCCTATATATATATATATATATATATATATATATATATATATATATATATATATATATATATATATATATATATATATATATATATATATATATATATATATATATATATATATATACGATATTTAGCTCCGAAATTAATTCTGTCGAGCATTGTGAAGACACAGCACTAATATGTAAATATGTAAACAGTGACTATTACTGCTAATAATGCAAGATTCTCCAAACGGATTCAGTTCTCTAAGTCACTGGCATGTTTATGAAAATTATAAATACACAAGCCTCGGGTTTAGAATTTCCAACTAATTCAACCGGCTTGAAGTGATTCGATGTCTGTGATACAGCGAAAGAAGACAGTATATATATATATATATATATATATATATATATATATATATGTGTGTGTGTGTGTGTGTGTGTGTGTGTGTGTGTGTGTTTATTTGTCACAGTTTAGGCAGAAGTAGGTTGATGATAAATGTCTTGCCAGTTCCACCAGGGGCATCGAGGAAGAATAGATGTCCTCTTTCACCTTTAATCGTCGAAATAATCGAGTTATAAACACCCAGTAGGACCTCCGTTAATTTGTGTTCGTTATCAGCTATATATGCCGTCATTTCCTCTGTGTAATAGCTGATGTTCCGCATGGAGACGATTGTGAGATTTTCCGCTTCCTGCTCAGGTGGAAGTAGACCGAATTTGGCATTTCCTCCCATAGATTACACTAAGATGTCTAGGTCAGCTAATGTCTCATTTCAAATGGCATCATTGAACGCGGCCATTTCAGCTGAGGTTTACCTTCGATTCCATCGTGGAATGCCCTCTACTATGCTGGTTTTGTGGGTTGCCCAAAGCTTAAGAGGCCAACCCAGGCCGCATGTCATCAACATGATGGAAAATAGCTGCTGCAGTTGATTTTGCTGATTGCTGTCTCCTCCAGTGTCTGGTCCAGTGGGCAGTCCTCCATTATTCCCTGTTTGGCACAGGCGTCTCTGTAGGTCGTACAGACTTCTCCGGTATATCTTCGCAGGTCTGTGAATGATATAAGACCTCTGACAGTGTGCAGCAGCAGACATAGAAAGAAGCACTTCTGCTGGTTGGGGTGCACAGTGTACACCAACCCTATGTTTGCGCTTTTCTTCCCAGCCCTCAATTTCTGCTCCTTGCTTACGCCTGCTCCACCTATTGTGTGCCCTGGTGGATCAGATGGAGAAGCCCAGGATGCGCAACATTGCATCCACAGAGAAAATATATTTGCCCAGCAGATTTTCAATATTGAATGGAGTGAAAGGTTTAAAAAAACAATTCTTTATTAAATTTTTCATTTTCGTTTCGCTTTTCGTCGAGATACGAGTTGATATCATCTAATTAAACTGCTGTAAAAGTAAACATGACGGACAAGGGTACTGCTGTAAAAGTAAACATAACGGACAAGGGTACTGCTGCAAAAGTAAACATAACGGACAAAGGTACTGCTGTAAAAGCAAACATAACGGACAATGGCACTGCTGTAAAAGCAAACATAACGGACAATGGTACTGCTGTAAAAGTAAATATGACGGACAAGGGTACTGCTGTAAAAGTAAACATAACGGACAAGGGTACTGCTGCAAAAGTAAACATAACGGACAAAGGTACTGCTGTAAAAGCAAACATGACGGACAATGGTACTGCTGTAAAAGCAAACATAACAGACAATGGTACTGCTGTAAAAGTAAACATAACGGACAAGGGTACTGCTGTAAAAGTAAACATGACGGACAGGGGTACTGCTGTAAAAGTAAACATAACGGACAAGGGTACTGCTGTAAAAGTAAACATAACGGACAAGGGTACGTAGCTCATACCGATTAAGGGCGTTTGGGTTTTTGAGAAGGATGTGTATTTCCACAGCTAGATTTTTTACATAGACGTATCTAGAAAGAAAGTGTCCTTCCAACAGATTCTTATTCTACAGACCACAACAACAAACACGATGTGATTTTTTAAAGGAAGCTTGAAATATGAGCCTAGGTAAAGTTTCTATCGCAAATAATCTCAATTTAAATCTTATTTTACATTTAAATGACCGAATGGATCGAGATAATTTCTTTCTATTTATTAAATTTAAACTTGGCGAATTTAATGATGCCCATGGCGAAATTTTAAACGAATTATTTTTTTTTGCAAATTAAACGAATTAACTTTTTTCAATGTAAACACACTAGAGATCGTATTCAAATAAATATTATGCGGAATTAACATGTTAAATAAAGATTTTATTTAGAAAATAAACTGCGATTCGTTCAGATGTTACCCTTCTTTTATATAATCCAACAAAGGTTCATATCTGTCTGAAATTTTAAGATTTATAAGAGTTATTATTCCGTAACACGTGTATCTTAATTTTTAAAAAGTTAGCCAGACTAATTATCTCCCTTGTTTAAGCACATATAAACAGTGTTTCGCGTAGACCCGGCGGTGAGCTGCGAGCTAGGATCCCTAGCGGTCTCATTATAGAAGTGTATAAAAAACAATGAGATTATTAACAAAGTGGATGTTAGTTTAATATGTATGCAGTATTGCATCAATATTGGTTGACGTGTTTAGGCGGCGATTTGATTCAGACTAACATAGAAAATACATACAGGGTTGTTCAAAAAGAATGAACCGATTTCATGACGTATTGCTTCAGTTCTCAAACATCGTCGTGGAATGAGACAGTGATCATTAGAAAGTTTTGAATGGCTGCTATGGAGGCGCTGTAGCTGCATCGTATCTCTGTCAACGTTCAGTTGTTTGTTTACCACCGATATGGCGAGTCCTCACTAAAAGGCGTACTGCATGTCACGGTGCAGTGTGCTTATCAAAGGCAATTCGACATTAATCCGCCCTCTCCTAAGAACATTCAACGGTGGTTTAGACAGTTTCAAGAGAGCTGGTGTCTGTGTAAAGAAAAAAGTCCAGTATGACCACAAGTTTCAGAAGGACAATTGGCGAGAATCCGTGTTGCGTTTGAGGAGAGTCCACGGATGTCCACATGTCGAGCTAGCCGTGAGTTTGCGATCTCTCAGTCTTACAGACCACGCCTCGTTCAGGCACTTACCTAGACTTTGCTCTTTGTGCTTGGCCAGCGAGATCCCCAGACCTCACCGTGTGTGATGTTTTCTTGTGGGGATACGTAAAAGATCGCGTTTATATTCCACCGCTACCCACTAGCCTCGATGACCTTAAACATCGAATAACAACAGCCATCAACTCAGTGGATCGTGATATGCTGATACGTGTCTGGGGGGATTTATCATATCGGATTGATGTTGCCTGTGCTACCACACTGAATACTTGTAAGACAGGAAATAAAAGTTGATTATAAGTAGAATACTTGTGACTTAACTGGACTATTCTATTGCTTTTCTTAATTAAAATATTGTGTAATGAAATCGGTTCATTTTCTTTTTTTTTTTTTTTTGAATAATTCAAAGTAAGGTCCGTAATGAAATCGAACATAACCGGACATCTCAACTTCGCTCATTTTCCCACTGACCTGACGGGACTCTCACTATCTTTGCTCCAAATCCTTTCTTGGCAACTGGTATGACGAACATTTTTCCCCCAGATGTCCCGACTACATCAATTTGAGCGTATTACTAGATTGACAGCTAGGTCTCATTTTTTTTAATGTTGAAATAGGTAGATATAACCGCCAATTCTACGCCAACAATTTCTTTTCTCGCAATCACACCCGCGGAACTCCCTTCTGATTTCTTGCTTCCCAGAAAACTACAATCTTCAGAAATTTAAATTAAGCGTCAATCTCAATCTTCTGCCTTTTTCTTGAACCCTGTTCCTTTTTAGTTCTCAATTATCTCCAATATTTCCAGCAATAGCCACTGGCATATAGAAGCTACCACGACATTCACATGCGAAATGAACAGTTAAAAATAGATCCTCTTTTGTTGTACTGTCCACTTCATTTCGATATTCCTCATGGTTGTATATTAAAGGGAGCCAAGCGATCAGTCTTACATGTTTGGCCATTTGATTTTTTCTACAGTTTCTCACTGCGACAATCCGTAAAGTTTCATAAATTGATAAGGAAAGATAAGATATAAAAAAAACATCCAGCGACATTACACATTCAAGTTGCCTTTCTAAGATATGTTTCGTAGTCGTCCAGAATCGTAAACGGACATCTATGCTCGGTATTATAGGGCGAACTTTCAAACTTTGTTTCACGTTTGATAACCTCCAAAATGTCTGAACATATCTTTTATCAATCGCATCAGCGATAAGGCAGATTCTGAAATATCGAATCCGCAACGTAGTGATTAATTTGATAATTCAAAATTAATTCAGAGCAAAATGTCTTTCATTTCTTTATATCTGCGCAAAACGAACAGGCTTCATTCACCTGCGCTGGTAGATGTAATCATTCAACAAAATAAATTTTACGCTCCAATATTATATATATATATATATATATATATATATATATATATATATATATATATATATATAAGTGCGCAGGGTATGCAGAAAATAGAAAAGAACACGTTGGGTGCATAATCCGGAGTTCCTTAGTATTTTTGATTTTATTTTTAAGAAGACAGTGCTCCATACAGAAGTAGAGCTTTATTATAATATTTTTTTGTTTAAAAATATGATTCCTTCGCTACATAAGAGTTCTCATGTTTCGAAAACGAGAGCCGAAACCATCCAAATAATTATTAAAATCAAGTTGAATTGAGGTGTTTAGTCCTGTTTCATCTTCAAGCGAAATTTTAGGAATAAGCTATCTCTTGGTTTACGTGTTTTTAGGCATGGTCCGTTATAACATTCGTTATTGTGGGAGTGGCTAGCCTAGCGAAGGAATCATATTTTTATGTAAAAGCATGATTGCTAAAGAGTATAGAGAACGATGGTAAAGAGGCGTGTTTGAGGAAAGGATACAGACAAGGACAGGGAACAAGCTCAGGATGTCAGATGTCGATTGACATTACACTTGAATATTTGAAGATTATAGCCATCGGGGAAGCAACTAAGGGGAAGGGAGTTCCACAGACGGGAAGTGCGAGAGAATAAGCTGTTTCAAATGAAGAGACGGTTACATTTAAGCGTTTTGACAGTGAAAGAGCAGGATCGAAATGCCAGCGTGGTAGCTCGTTTAAATATAAATGTAGTTCGGGAACCAGCGAACGTAGCTCATCGCCGTGAAAATACTTGTAGAAGAGACAGAGGGAGGTCACGGCTCGTCTGTGGGATAGCGATTGTAGATTAGACGCCAGATCAGAACCTATCATCTTGCATATTCGTCTCTGGATTTTTTCAAGGACCTCGGGACGTACAGCGGGAGTAAAAATCGTTTTGTATCAGACCCACTGTGTTCCCCAATTGTAAGAGGAAAAGATCATTCAAGCCTTTCGTAATAGTACCAACAATTCATATTTGGGCTTCCATCTTCAAAGTCCATTTAAAAAGCATCAAGAGAACAATAAATAGGTTAAAAACATGAGAAAACAGCAGAGAGAAAAAGAAGATCAAGCGGTCACAACAGGAAGAGGGTTTATCATTTCAATTTAGATGTAAAGATACCAGTTAGAAAAGATCCAATACAATACATAAGACGTTCGGTACGTGAGAGAACAGTTTCATCAATGACAGTCCAAAGATCAGTGAAAAAAAGACTTGAATTTTTTTTGAAAATGAAATCGTACGTGAAACGTGTGTGGAACTGTGTTACTTCAAGTTAGAAGGTTAGAGTGGACGAATATCATCTTGAATAAGTTGGAAAATTATTCTAGAATAATAGATATATATTTGAACATTATTTCCATCCTACGGGAGCTTCAGATCCTTAGCTATGATTAATCAATGATGAACATGTCATTTTCCTTTATGATCGATTTCGTCACGATTATTCTGTTAAACTTGTAGAGTAATTATACATTCGTATCGTTCAAAGTAGAGTCCAGTAGGATTACAAAAATCTCGTAGAATTCCAGTAGGATATCATTAATCATTTATAAGCTAGAACAGTTCAAATCTTAATCTAAAAATAGGATAATTTTGCTCTCACTCGATTTGGACAATTTTGCTGTTACACGCGGTGTATATATATATATATATATATATATATATATATATATATATAGAACAGTAAGATATATAATCCGGTGTTCTTATAGATATTTTCATTTTTCACAAAATAGTGCCCAATGTAAATTTACAGAGCATTAATATTATAAATTAATTGATTTAAAATATGTTTTTCCGCTACACAGTTCTAACCATGTTTCAAAAATGGAAGCTGAAAGCTCCGAATTTAATTTTGTAATTAAATTAAAGACATTAAATGGAACTAATGTCTTTAATTTAATTTAATTACAAAGTTAAATTCGGAACTTTCAGCTTCCATTTTTGAAGCATGGTTAGAACTGTGTAAAGGAAAAAACATATTTTAAATCAATTAATTTATAATATATATATATATATATATATATATATATATATATATTATCAATTAATTTATAATATATATATATATATATATATATATATATATATATATATATATTTCTAATAATGTAAGATGTATAGCTACTCTGAGTCTCTACTATACTTATACTTACTATATGCAAATGAAAAAATTCAATTTATTGATTGATGTGTTTTATTAATAATCGATTCAGTTGCCCCTAGCCTTTCCGCAAGTGCATGTGTGCGATCAACGACCTCAGAATGAGACCCGGGATAGATCTCCAGGGCAAAGCAAAGTTTTGAAATATTAATTTTAGAATCGACGCTTCAGTGTGCAAGATAGATTATT